CTAGATATTCCTGATATTTTTGAGTGCACCAATATATTTGAACAAGTATCTGTAATGGCTAGGACCAGCTTTTTGTGCATTTACTGGCAGAGTGCAACCGTTCATTCAGTGAATCCCATTACCATCATCCATGCTTTTATTAGATCAAGATTAAACTAGTGCAAAGTGCTCTACGTGAGGCTGCTTCAAAACCATGAAAATGAACAAAGCAAGATGTACTTGTACTTAAGATTGTTAATATAAACTTGAAGCTGTGCAATGGAATTCATTTCAGATTTATTTGAGTGTGGCTAACTGGGAAAAAAACAGTTTAATTTGTATGCATACACAGCTCATCACTGAAATTAACAGGCATCAGTCACTCTATTACCATATCATGCAACAGATGCCATAAATGCTGAACTATTTTCTCCCTTAGTTGCTGAATATCTCTGTTTTGTTCCATAATTATTTTCAGTTCTTAATTAATGGATTTTTTTTTAGGGAAGGAGGAAGAAGATGGGGGATGGGAGAATATTGTACTTCTTGATCTTTCCAAATTGATGAAAGTCAACAAACCTAGAAGAAGATTCCTACATATTGTTACTAAAACTCAGTTTAGTTCTGTGAATTTGTCTGCGTGAAAAAAAGCTGAAGGAATTGTAAATTAATTTTGATTTCTGAGAAATGTCCAACTGAAATACGTACTGTAAAGACTGAAGTTCAGAGCTGATGTCTAAGTCAGATCTCCTAAGTATGGCACGTGAGGGAATCTAGCTAGCGTGTTAGGTATGGTCCAAACAGATACAGGGGAGCCGTGGGGAGGGTGTTAGTTCCCAGCTCAAACACACAGGTCTTTTTGCTATAGACTGCTGATGAGTACTGAGAGTGAAGCATAATGCAGAGAAATCAGAGCTAAGGCATGCCCTAAAAGAAACCCAAAAAGCTCTTGCAAGAGTCTGTGAGAAAGATACCATGTCCCAGGTTATGGAGAGAGCGATAGTAAGGGCTCCATCCAGGAACAGGAAGATTATCTAACTACGAGCTGCACGCACAGCCTTGTGGTCTCCAGGATTAAGTGGAAATTGAGCAGGGCAGGTTTCTGAATCTGGGCATTACTTTATGTGAAAGGGGGTGTCCACGGTCTTTTTGCAGTTCTTTTGTAGATCTAACCTGGATTAATCTCTGGGCACTCTTTCATCTGAACATCTGCTTTTCCAGGATCTCCATTCTATTCCTTTCCAAGCCACAGTGTTTCTACTGGATCTGACTCAGGGCCTAAGGATTCAGCCTTTATTCAGTCAAAATTCAAATATTGTTAACTAAAATTGTACAATGACACTGCAGAAGCTGTGATGCCCCATGCGTTTAAAGTTTGTGCTTAAGTGTTATAAAGAGAAATGATGTGTTTTATGAGACTAGCTGATACTTAGAGAAAGGTGGCTTATGTACCTGAAAACTGAATTGTTTCTCCCAAATACATCAACTGGTTTAGTAGTTAACTGGTTTTAACCTATGCTTTTAGCAGTGAATGCAGGATCATACCTTGGAGAAACTTTATTTCTGTTCATGCTTGTTAAATATGGGCAAACCTTCTATAACCAGGGGGTAGAGGAAGTTGATTTAAATAGGGGTTTCAGTGCAGTCATAGTGCTGTTACCTGACCCAGGAGCCCTGTTTGCATCAGCTGCTGTTGACAGAAGGTTAATGCCCACTTAATTTCATAACCTTCTCTACCTCCATTCACTCTATATTTTATTATGATACACACAATTGGAGGCAAATATAGAGGTATTGATATCAATCGTAAAGAAAAGGGAACATTTGTGTGTGTGTGTATGGGTATACATATACATGTATATATGCATACTTATATAAAATCATTCATTAACCAGTACCAAATAGTTCTTACTGAAAAACTAGTGGTAAAATCAGTGCTCAGAAAATTTGAAATTTTTTTTCCTCTTGAGTAAAGGGTACCAAGAAAACTATTTTAAAAAGAGTAATAGTCATATTACCCTTGCTAAAGAATGTGTCCTTCTGCGAGCCACACTATTATCTCAGCTGGGTTTTGTGCTAGAAAAATGTCATTAGCTACAACACTAGGCTTCACAAGAGAGTTAGACACGTCATGTTTTACAGGACAAGAATACAATATTTGTGATATCCCCATTGCAGAGGAAATGGCAGTGTGTGATCTTGATGATGTTTTAAACATTGGAAATGCCAGAGGTCATGGTGAGCTGTAATTCTTCTCAGAGTAAGTAGTGACCCTCTGGTGTTGAATTTTCACCATAGGGGAGAAAAAGCACACTTAGAACACAAAAAATGTGTGATGAACAAAATAAGCCAAAAATTTTCAGTGTGAGATTAAAAACACCTGAGGAGAACGACTAGTGTAATAATAAGGTGGCAGTGAATTTAGCTTGACAGTTCACTGCTTATTAGAGTAGTGATGTTAATGTGACTGCTGCATGGCTGATCTACTGTTGATGGGACTGTTGCTTAAAACATGTTAGTTCTACCCGGCTGAATATGGTATTTATCTTAGCTGCAGACTGTCCCTTTTATTACCCCTCCCTAATATCATATTGAAGGAACTTCCCCAATTTTGGAATCTACAGCATTGTGAGTATGTTTGAATGACCGAAAGAAATCAAGTTGCCTCAGCTTAGTGAATTAGCCATTTCCAGAAAAACCGCAGTGGCTGAAAGCATAGCTCATTTCAGATACACACTCAAATGTATTAGCATGCTTTCACAATCACTTGTAATGATCTTTCTTTTCTCTTGCACCAAGTGTGTTACAATAATTGTCCCTTAATTTAAGACAGGAAGACAGGGAAAAATTTGATCAACTGTTGTGGCTGTATTTTTTAACCACTTATTAGACTTACTAATAATCCATGTTAAACCACAAGGACCAAATGCCTCATTTAATAATTTCTTTCTTAAAGAAGTCCGATCTACATTTAAATCCAAAACGATAAATAAGTCCTTCAGGCATTCAGAGCAGTAAGAACCATTAAAGAAGGAAGTATAGAGAAATAGGATTTACATGGACAATAGTGAATTTCCTTCTCATAGCTAAAAATGAATGCTTAATCATAATTTAACAAAATAAAATAAGTCATTGAACGAACTGATACATTTCAAAGTCAGCTGGGTTGCAGCGCAATAGTATAGTGAAGTCCTACTGAAATGTGACCTGAATTAAATTCAGATAATCAGAGATTAATCTATATAAGATATTTTCCGGTTGTAGTTGGGAATTGGCCTCAGGGGTTTGGATTCAGATTGATGTTGCACTCATAAACTACTGGCATAAGGTAGGTCAAGGTAAATAAATATGATAAATAAATATGATACTATTTTCATCTATCTTGCACTGAAGTAGATTTGTTCTAACTTCCTTTGAATTATGCTGAAAGAAAATTCAGCCTGGTAACCTGTATGGATGTTCTTCAAGTCATGAAACACTTTCTACTGACTATTTCTTACCAAAGAAGTGTGTCAAAAGAGATTTTTTCCTTTACCAACCCGGCATTACACAGGAAGTAAATAGAGTATATCAATACACAAAATAAGAGGGGATGCTTTTAAATGTAGTGCTAGCCTCTTCATTTTAATTAAGCTTTCAGCGAAATAAATCTGTATTTTGTACAAAGAATGTCTGAAGAATGGAGGACAAATTCATTGAAGCTAAGCTTTATTTAGGGAAAGTGTTTAATAGAAAATCAGTAAAGTATAAAAGAAATGTCAGAAGATTTGAAAGCTGGGGAATGACAGGGAGAATATCAGGGTACTGGAGGGAAAAAATCACTGAATTTTCCTGATCAAACAAATGAGTGAGGTGAATGCATTATTTTGGACCTTTTCAGTGCTATGTTGAATTCCTACCTAAGCTTCCATTAACTTAAAGATCTCAGTCATTAAGCTCTCAAGTCCTCCACCTAGGGAAGCTCACTTGAGTGAGATGATTGGTGGGAACAAGACTTATATTGACAGAAGTCTATGTGGAAGGTGGTTTTCCTATATCAACCATCTCATCTGTCAAACCACCTTGGACCAATGGGAAATATGGGACAATGCCACGCTGGTAAAGGTGTGGGCAGAGACCACAGCTGTAGGACTGTCCTTGGCAGATAAATGTGCTTCTTCTGAACATCAGGGTGACCCTAGTTCAAACCTGATTCAGCACAAAATTGGTTTTCCCGCAGTAGCAGGTTAAAAATCCTTTGCTGTGTTATACGTTTTCCTTTTAGTATTCAAATCTTAAAATGAGTATACTCACAATTATCATCTTTGTTTGCTAAAGAGTAAGGTCTGCTACTTTCATCTCTAAGAGATTTCAGCTCTAGATTTGATTTGGTCTCCAGCAATTACCAGGAAGGTGGTTGCTATAGCTGCACTAATGAAAGGAGCAACCATGTTTCCTTGAAGACAATGTAAGCGAGCATAAACAAACAAATGCTTAAATATATTATACATGGCATTAATAGTGCAAATGAGATATTACTGAAACAAGGAAAATAAGATTTTAGCCTTTTTTGGAGGCTTGATATATATCAACCTTGCAATATTCTACTCCCCCCTTAGCTTGAGCTGGTAAATTTTTTTGGGTGGATAGGCAAAATATTGTAGGATCTTCTTTATCATGATGATGTGAGTCACATTTTTGTTATATTTGTTCATGTTACCGCATTTTTCCAGTGACAGTCTAGCTACATGATTTTGCTGAGGTCCTGCTGCTGCAATGATGGGCGCACAGATGACGGTATATGACCAAAGCCAGGAACGTAAGAAAGTTTTAATTAAAAAGAAACATTCTGTTAAGTTTTAGTGAACTTTTCCAACTCCAGTTCACTGAGTTTAGCTTTAAGTGTGATTCTTTTCTGACAAGTGACTGTTAAGATCATATCACACATTGTCAGGTTTATGTTTCAATGGTCCATATCAATTTTGTTCAGGATGTTATTGGATTTTTTTAAAACTACCAGACCTGCCAGTGAACCAGCAATATGAAGGTCATGTTGTGTTCAGTCTCATGCAACACCAACAATAATGACAGTTCTGGAAAATGGAATATCTCACTCACCTTCACAGTACACCACGTGACTGTTCAGTGCAGATCATATTATCATTTAGATTTGCATGAAGCTGGAGTAAATCCATTCTATTGCCAAGGTAAAATAAAATCTTCTAAAACAACTTATGCTACATCTATGAAATAGGCTTAAAAATCTTAGTGTTATGTATGGTATTAAGGTGATGAAGTTCAGAGTAGCTGATACTGCTAGCCTGTAATGGGACAAGCTTCCACAACTTTAACAGAATATCTTCTTGAACAAAGGATGGAAATTGTTCTGTGGAGTGACTACTGTAACAATACTATCCTTATATTACACCTATCTGTAAGCAGATGTTATTACTTACTTGAATTATTCAATAATCTGTTAATAGCGATTTCCAGAAGGATTAAGATCTGGGCAGTGCTAATGACTACCTAATGCAACCAGCTTACTGTCTTCTTACGTGGTTAGGACAGAGATACGTTGCTTTTTGGAGACATTGGGCAATGGAGGCATTAGGCCAAGACGGGTGGATGAACAAACAAATTAATGCCACATGGAGCATATTTTAATGCAAGGCTCCTCTTTTGCTAGCTATTAGATAGATTTCATGTTTTAGGAGAAATAGCAAATATCGCATGGCAAAATGACGCTAGTAGGAAACTGCCATTTGTTTTAATTGTTATTTGATTTCTGATTCTCAGCACATGGCAAACTATTTTCCTTCTCTTTTCTACTTTATTTTGCAGTTAACTTTGACCACTTTCAAATATTGCGAGCTATTGGGAAAGGGAGTTTTGGAAAGGTAAGAATCAACTTATTTTTAGCAATTCAAAATCTAATAGAGAATTCTTTTGTGTATTTCTGATATGATCTGATCAGATACTAGTACAAAGGAACATAGGTTTGTAGCCTTCTGCTTTTTAAAGACATTCTGATCTCAGTCATACTGATTGAGATTGTACATTAAATTATTTCTATTACAATACATTCACTAAAGTTAATTGAGTAAATATGTTAGTAATAATTAAATCTCTTCAGTGGGGATTAGCAGAAGCTAGAAATCAGTCCTCAAAACAAAATGAAAACATGCCAAAAGTTGGAGCAGACCACTTAGTAGACAGTCCAGTAGGGTTATCTTGTTCTTAAATGTCTGGACCTATTTATATCTTTAAAAGAGTAGCAATTTTGTAAAGACGCTTTACATAGATTCAGTACACTTGGGACTGTATAAGCTGACATTCGTTGTAATTATGATCACTGAGTAAATGTTTATTCAATTCAACAGGCTTGTGTTGAAACAGAAAAGATTAATGGCTTGTTTACACATGAGTAGATGACCTTTCTTTGCTATAATAAAGACTATAACAAGGTTTTAAATTTTAATATAGGTAAATATAAGGCCAAGCAGCCAAAGAAAATCATATTAGAAAAATGTTAGGAATCATTACTTGCAGGAATACATTTGAAGGTGAAATACAACTTCAGTAGCTGATCAAGAAATAACTATGTAGACCTTGATTTTAATGATTCTTGAGCGTGTGCCAGCTGAGTGCCAGTGGCCTAGTTCTGCAATTACATGTTACGCACATGCGTAACTTTTTTTTGGCTCTTGGCCTTCCACACAGAAATGGAGTTCTTTCCCCAGAGAAAACTTTCCTTCTACAGGAGGCTAAAATGCTTCACGCAGACTGCTGCCTTCCCGGCGTGCTCTTTGCTCTGTCCAGTAGATTCCACGAGAAGTGCTCTCAGAGGCAGATAGGAGAATATGCTGCCAATGCAAAACTGTAATCAAGAATTCCTTCAAAAATCAGGGCAACTGGAGAACTGTGACTGTTTATTATCATAGTGCGCTAACGGAGCATCTTATCAAACAAAGGATAGACTCCCATTGCCTGGAATGCAAGTTAGATCCAACACAAGGACTTAGAAAGGTATCCAGATCATCCTGGCCATCACAAAGATCTCCTGAACCTCTTTTTCTCTTCAAAGCTTCCAAGTTTGCACTTTGCTATCTCTGCTTTACCAAAGGGGCCCTGACCATTCCCTATCATGCTGGCAAATTAAACAGCCCTAAATGCTTTTTGAAGGCTTGGTGGCTAATTCGTTCTTCTCTGTGGCATCAGCGTGTAACATTTCCTACGAGAGCAGGATTCAGGAAATATTGCTGAATGTTTCTATGATGACATTTCTAGAAACATTTAAATTTCTTGTGGGCTCGTTTGACTGTAGCGTTCTTCTGAACCTATTTTGGGGGTAAGTACATGTGAGAATAAAGTTTCACAACCCTGAAAGAACATACTCAGTGCAAGAAAGAAAGAGTGCATAAGGTCCCCTTTGAACTTAAATCCTTAATCTGCAGTTGTCAGTGCAATACAGGAGACCTTGGCATAACAGGCTTATTTATTTGAAATGAATGCAACTTTCCAACCAATCACCTTTTTCCTTCCACAGACAGAAATGACCTGTTGTACCACAGCCAAAAGCACAACATGGTAAATCAGTCACTGTTTCAAAAGTGTCTTTCTCTGTGAGTCAGTCCTGTCTTTCCCCTTCATTTAGAAGTCTCATTGCTGGCAACTTTTCCTATTACTGTCCTTCTGGAACTACCTGGCAGCAGACAACATCAACAAATGATGCAAGGCCTCTAATCTCTATTGACTCACTATATAAGTTTGGGGTCTATTGTGCTCTAGCATACAGCAACATGCAACACTGTATTTGGTGTCACACTTTCCTTAATGACTGCTATATGGCCTTTTTTATTTTCTGAAAGCAGTAGGATTTTTAAAGATATGCTCTAGTTTTTTATTTTATTGTTCTTGGTGCAATCTCTCTCTCTCTCTCTCTCTCTCTCTCTCGGTATTTCTTAAATTACTGTGGTTGCTACAGCAACCTTTGGCCTCTGCAGGATATTGCTGCAGGAGGTATCTGGTATGACAGCTAGGCAGAGACTCCGCACAGCTCAGCTCACTTGTGTGTGTGTACCCACGTAGAGCTCGAGGTTACCTGCTTCAGCACCTGTGCTCCAGAGAATCGAGGAGCATAATCTGGTTTCTGGAAGCAAGCAGGCTTGCTTCTCTTTGCCTGGAAAAGTGTCCTTTGAGAGGTCAGTTTGCAGTCTGCCACTGAGTAGCTGAGCTTTGAGCCTGCTTGGGACCATCTTTGCCATAGCTTTTGTGTAGAGTGGGGATCCTGAGCCTTTGTTCAAGCCAAATGAGTTATGTGTATGCACATCAGACTTATGTGCGACCATGGACTAAATACTCATCCCCCTCCCGGGCACGTGCGCTCTTGCTGAGTATATATATATATATATATATGTATATATATATATAGGCATATACATGTACTGGTACAGATCTGTGAGCTGCTGAGCAGCAAGCAAGACCCAAACAAGGTATGTGACACAGCTAAAATCAGTCTTGCTGGCCTCAGTGGCCTTGCTTTGCTTAGGTAGCTCTTTACTTATGCTTTGGTGTCCTTATCTGTAACATTAAATGCTAATTTTTTTGTTGTTGTTTTGGAGACTTTGAGGCTAGTTGTGCTTTACATGTTACAGCTAGTAGTATTTTCAAATACATTTGAGGTGAATCAGGTCAGAAATTTCCTCTGAACACTTTTTGTCTATATGCTAAATATTTTCCTTCTAAGTAAATTCAAAGTGGACAATAAAAAACAAAAAACAAAAATTCTGAACACTGATCTAAGTAGTTATTTCTTTATACCATGGAACACAATGTGAGTGCTCTCTTATGTTTAAGCTGGCTAAATTTTTTCTTTTATGTATAAATATAGCCACCATTCCCATCGACCAAAATACCGCAAAAGCTTATATATTTGAAAATATAATAAATGAAACATTAACTAGGAGTGAAATACAAAAAAAAGTCATTTTTCTTTACTGCAACCTCAGTAAGCTCATAGTTGTGAGCTCACTGCTACAAAATAATTTGTATTCAGCTGTAATGTCTAATTTTCAGGGATATTACAGTATCAATTTTCTTCAAGTTCTCTGTTTGTGTTAGCAGGTATATTGAACAATTTGACCTCCTTAAATTAAATTTAAATTATGATTTCAATGTACAAACTCTTCCTCCTTCTATTTATCTAAGATACTGAGACACAGGGTGTAGTTCTGATTAATTTGGTTGTATAAAACAGTGACTTCCTCTGCTGAAGTAATTGAAATTACGTTGATGTAAAGCAGATGGGAGGCCAGAATCAAGTCTGCACTGATTGAGGGTACTTTGCTAAATAATATGCACAGAATTTCAGAAAAAATCTGCTGCTATCCTAAAGGAACACAATGTCCTAAAGCAACACAATGCACAACTACAGAATATTAATATTATTTGATGATATAACCACCTATTTTTTTAGATTGAGTTAATATGAAAGGATACTGAGCAGATGCTTAGTCCCTGGTACAGCTGTCTTAGTTTTCTCAGGGGAATCTGGGAATGAATCCCTTTATGTCACGGAAATTCCCTAGTGGTGTAAAGCCAAACTTACGATATCCATTCTCCAGCTTGTTTTTGAAAATCTCTCTCAGTCTGCTTGTAGGCTGAGTCTATGACAGTTAGTTTTAAGAGTGTATGAGTAAAAAGGAGGTAAGGTGGCAGTATTTGGAAATATGCTTCGTAGGCAGATCTGTCCATTTTGACATTGAGTGTGAAACGTCACTGGTTTCTGGCTTGTAGTTCCCTACATATAGGCAGGTATCTCCTGCTTCTACAGTGCCACAGCCTCTCTCCTGGGCTGTGATTAGTCATGGCAGTTATAGGTGTCCAGTTTGATCTATTGACCTATATCTGACCCTATCCATATCTGATATGTTGATATGATTAGTGCATTAGAGATGGCACAGGAACAAGGCTGAGGTGTTGCTCTGCAACTAGCAAGCTTGCCACCTAATAGAGACCACGTTCAAAGGAGCTTCCTCTAGCTCCAGTCTTGTATCTCTCCTGGTTTAGGACCTGTGATACTGCCATATCATGTAGTAATTTAATTAGTCTTATATACCAAACAGAGACCAAAATGGCATTATTGGGACCAAGTGCTCCTGTTTCTTGCTGTTCCGCTCTCAGGACCTAGCATGTGGCAGCTAGGCATCTTGTGAGGTTAATCGGAAACCCAGTAAGTCTGAAGCAATGATATCAGTTTGAGCTGAGCACAGTCATTGGCTTTTGAAAAAAATTCAAAGAGGATATTTTAGTAATGTGAGCATGACAGGCTTGATATGTGTAAATAAGGCAATTCTGCACAGGCTTCCTTATGTAATGAGTCATCACAGAATTTGTTTGTTGAGGTGCCAGACCACTTGTTTGTCCCTATTTTAAAATGTCTCCTTTGGAAAGAATTTGAACGATAAACAAAAAACCAATGTAAATGTTTCCCGTTACGACTGAACATGTGAGGAAAGCTTTGGGGTTTTTCCTTTCTTTCCTGCAGTACTTGAGCAGTTTTAGCCTCACAGAACAGCCTGCTGATGTTCTGCTCAGAAGAAGAGCTGACAGCCAGGCGGTAAAAATGCCAGCGAGTATCTCCACTACTATTTAGCACTGTCATAGCAATGTCAGATGTTTTCCACAATAACATCAGTGTGAATGCAACCTCAATTTCTTGATTTTTAGCAGAAAGTATCTTCAGTATGCTAATGAAAATCTCATTGATTTTGAAAACATGTTAAGAGATGTGAGTTGGTACACGTTTCTAGACAATGTTTTTCACTATTCCTTTTTAAGGCTGTATGATAAGCAAGCTTCTAGTAGCAACAGAATTGCCTTGAATGTCTTCTCAAATGCGCTGAATACCCTCATCTTTACTGGCAGGTGAGAGAACGGAGTGCCTTTTAGAATCGCATCAATGTTGTAAAACATAATCTTTTCATATTACATATTTAGATACTGTGTATGATCCTAGTTTTCTGCACTGGTCAAATCTGTTGCCTCTCAGCTGAGTCAACCTCATTCTCTCAGCAGTCTTGCTGGTCAATCTTTCAATACAGAGGCTCTTAGTATAATGGAACAGGTGACTTCTGTGAACACCTCTCGGTCTTCACCAAGTTTCATTTAAAATCATGCTGCAAATTTGTATAAGTGAATAAACTTTTCAACTTGGGTTCTGAGCCAAAATCCTTAACTGTTAGACTGTATAATGTGATTCCCTAGGTTGGAGCAGCCAGCTCCAGTTCTGTGAGTGTCCACATAATCTCAGATAGGGGACCAGGATTTACCACTTGCAAGCTCTGTTATGCTTTTAAAAAATTTGCAGAAGTCTGAGCAATTCTTTTACTCCCTCCATTTCAACTCAACCCCAAATCCAATCTCTTATTTTTCCGTAGCTTGGGTTCTTTCTGTATAGTTTTGAACCTACACAGTAATTTTAAGGCCTTCACCAACATTCAGACTTTCCATAATTGCCCAAGGAGGAAAACAAAACAAAACTTCAGTACTCACCATTGTGCAAGATCGATAGGCTAAAGAAAAAACATTGCTATCCCTGTTTTACTTAATTAGCAGAACATCTCCTGGTATAGGAAAGGTAATTAGAAACACTATTTAATTATACCTTATCATTAAAGGTTAAAAATACTCTATTAATTCCTGTCTTTGGACTGCGTTTGAGTTCCAGAGAAATCAATGTGAATCAGTTTTTGCTGGTGCAGGTCCTCCCGGAGGGACTGGAAAAAGGTGGAGGAAGTAAAATACTACAACGGAAAACTGCTAGAGCATTTCCTCAGATGGTAAGGTATAACTGAGTGTGCCATGCCTCTCTCCTGGGCCCTGACTCTGGGCTCTGGGGGGCTGTTACCAGTCCGTGAATCTAGGTGACACCTTATTAGAGATAGATAAGAAGTTTCAGCTGTTCTAAGCAGTCTCTGTTTCTCCAAAGCATCTCTGAAATTTGAGTATGCAAGTTCCTTAAAAAACAAGTCAAAATTCAAAGGATTTCTTTTTGGTTGACACAATGAAAAAATTTGATTTCTGAGCACTAATCTCGTATATATGTGTGCATATGCATATATTATAATGTGTGTGTGTGTGTGTACACGTGTGTGTGTTTATATACATATATATGTATAGAATAAATGTATATATAAAAATAAATATAAAAAATAAAATAATAGTGCCCACACCAAATTAATCCTTCATCATATCCTTGAACTAACTACAGAGTTGTGGTATCAAAACCAGATACTTACAGCTGGTAGTCTGTATATGTCCTGACAATGAAAGGTTTTGATTGGAACTTAAGGCTGTATCAGTAATATAAATGTTGCATCAAAATAATATTTTCAGCTTGTGTTCTTTAAGTTGTCAAGACACACTAGGAGTCCTTAAAAAAAGGTGCGATCGATTAACAGGAAGAAACTTTCAGAGCAAAATTCTCGTGGATATATAGTTGTGCTCTATCTGAGTATGTAGAATTTGTTATGAAGATGAGATTCATACCAGCTTTGGGAGTGAGACACAGATTTCTGTGCTGCCATAAATCATATTTAAAGTGATGGTTCTTAGATTTAGTGCTAATTTAAGACTGTGAATCTCTGCAGCTTCATTCGCCTGGAAACTACTCTACCACCATGACTAATGAAAAAGAAAATGAATGCTTACACTGGAGTTCTCTTGAATAAGATTTTCTTCCTGTGTTTACAAAATTATGTCATTTTTTGCCAAATAAGAAAACAAAATTAAAGCAAAGAAGTTTATTGCCTGAGACTATATCATTGTAATGGTCTCTTGTGACCTTAAAAATATTATGATGAACCTCTATGTGAAAATTCTCTTTCTTTTCAGCATTGGTTAAGGGAGGAAATTCTGATATTTAGATGAAATTTTGAGCCACATGAACCTATGACATATTTATGATGCAGTAATCAAGATGTGCATATTGAACTGTGGGAATGAGGACTGTGACTGTGCATTTCCGTAAGGCAGGGGCAATAATTTCTGTGATTAGTGCAATAGCCTGGGTTTCAAGCGATTAGTATGTATTCCTCCTAGCTTTACCGAATAACTTCTGCAAATTATGCCACTTTCTGGGTCTCAGTTTCTTCTTATGCAGAGTGGGGCAAATATACAGGTGTTCTTTTGTTAATTTATTAACTACGACCTAATACAAAGAATCCTGCGTAGTTGTAACATGGACTTTCCTGTAACAGGTTTTCCTAGGTTGTGATATCTAGATCACCTTGGATTCTTGAAATATTGTAAAGGCTTCTTTTTTGAAGTAATAATTGAGTTTTATTTCTATAGATGTCAAACTTTACCTTTGATGTCAATTAGGTGTGCATTGTACAGAAGAGAGACACCAAGAAAATGTATGCCATGAAATATATGAATAAACAAAAGTGCATTGAGAGAGATGAAGTTCGAAATGTATTTCGGGAGCTACAAATAATGCAAGGCCTGGAGCACCCCTTCCTAGTCAACCTATGGTAAGCAAATCTTAAAAATTCCGTTAGGCATCTATTGTTATCTCCTGTTGCTGAATATATTCAGGTTCTAGAAGGCTCAAAAATTGAAAAGAATGAAAGAATTACCACCTTTTTAAGATATTTATTTTTTTGCTGAGGTTTTTTTCTCATAAATATTTTAAAGGTGCCCTTTTGTACTGCAGCGTTCAGCATCCCTTTCACCTTTTCATTTCTGGTTTGGGTTCTCCCTGGATTCTTAGAGTAGTGTGTGGAGATATGTTGTTCTGTCCAGCTTTATCGTTTCTTTTTGACAATAGCTGGACTAAGTGACTGATTTTAAGATTGTGGAATATCAAAACCAACCATTCAATTAAAAAACATTTTGAGTTGATTCAGAGAAATTTCAAAACTCAATTACTCTTAAAAAATGATAGCAGGGAATTACCTGAAAGCACCTATTTGTCACCTGCAATTTCTCTTGTCTTTCCAGTGGTAACATCTGAATGGCTCAGTTATATCTGAGTGTGAAAAACTGTTGGTCAACTAATGACTAGATCCAGCTATACCACAAACTTAAAACATTTAATGTTTTTTATCTAGCAATAGTGGTAATGGGATGCAGACTTTCTTACCTAGTCTAAAAATGACCTATATTATTTTTAAAAAGGGATGTAAACCATTATGCTATGAGAAATATTCAGTTAGTGAATAGCTTGTTTGTCTGCAGATGTTCACAATGCAAACAGACCTTCTATTTTGTGAGTTTTTAGCGGTCTTACTGGAGTTCCATGACTAACCTATGCTCTCTTGTCTGTCCCTTAGCTCACTCTTAATCTGTACATTTGAACAATTTCTTGTTGCCCATTTAGCACCTTTCATGAGCTAACAGCCAGATTATTTTCTGGTTTAAGTGAGCACAGCTTTAGTTTAATTGCATCCACTTATATAGGCAGAGGACTTGAACCTAAAATTCATTCAGAAAGCACCTAATCATATACATGTGTCTCACGTGCTCTCCACTTGACACAAATGAGCATACTTGAGCTCACCCACTGTTCTGTCTCCAACAGTTAGAGAAGTTTAAAAACAATATGCAAACGTATCTGTGATACAAAACTTTCCCAGTGTACTCTCCAAGGTTCCAGCAACTTGTACTCTGGGGATTTCTTGGCCAAAGATGTAGTACCTTTGTGCTTAGTAGCTTATGGACTTTTCTTTCATACGTTTGTCTAATCTGTTTGAACCCGTGCAAACTTTTGGTCTATAACAAGAGGTGTCGAGGATTTCCACTGTATGACTAGACGTTGTGCAGAAACAGTCACAGGTTGATGTGACCTACAAGACACTTCTATAAACATAACAATGCTAAAGAATTAAAGATCAAACATTTATTGTGAAACAAGATGTATGCTATATTCAAATTACTGCATCATATTTGGCTAAAAAATGTCCTTTCTTATTTTCTTTTGTCATAGCAAAGATTAAACCTGGAATAGACAATACCTTAAAATGTGTTGGGTTTGATGATGATTTTCTTGTAAATAATCAACATATTCTTCCCATGTTTCTGAGAGACAGTCTCAAGATCCGAAGGTTCAGATGTCATACTATATATGTACCTGTTCCAAGAGAAACATAGTACTCTAAAATTGGCAAAATTTTTCAGGCAAAAAGGATACCATTCAAAATGCACCACTGCACTAACAGAGATCTACATCCAGTGCTTCTAGCAGTGCTTATAGTTGGTCAGTCTGCCTAGGATGACCAATTTTTCTTTTAAGACGATGCACAGAGAAGGCCTTCACGCCACAACAGACCGTTTAGTAAATGACAGGTCCACTGTAACAGATGGAGCCAGAAGTGCGTCAGTTGTGTTAAAACACGTGACTAGATCACAGGCCAAAGCTCCTGTCTGCCACTCACTAGAGTTGGTTTCCAGGGCTGTGTATAAGAAAGACTGACGTGGACTATCCTGAGACTTACATCCAGACATAAAGACAGCGCCTGCATTCTGGAACTGTCTTGCCAAACCATGCCATTTGCTCACACAGTTATATAACCTTAGTATCTAAACGCTTCACAGTCTGATATGTTTATGTAGACAACATCATTTGGTTCTTCTTAAAGCAAAAATGTGACTCTGCAAAGGTACATCTAAGCCAGTGCATGAAACAGTAACCAGGACCATTCCAGGGCACTGCCATGAGCAGCTGGAACAGCTCTTAGCATGCACCAGGGCCACGCGAAGCAGCCCTTTCCCAAACAATCCCTGGACATAGCTCAAGGGTTATAATCTCTAGGGATCATTTTGGTGTGTCAGCCTCCGTCAGAGACTAGGATTTTCTATCCTTGGCACAAGCTCTTCCATGCCAGCTGGCCCAAGTGCTCAGAAATGATCCCAGCAAGTTTAATCTACCAATATAGCCAGAGAGTGCCTTAAACAGCACAAGCTATTCGAGGGATGCCTCTCCATCCTTGCTGTTGAAGGTGGGTAACTGCGTAGCCAAATCCTGGGCATATCACACTCTTCTGAGATCTAGCGACTTGGACACATACAGTTAGAGCTCTCGAAATTTTTTAGAGAATAATTACATTGACAAATACTTATTATTTGCACCTGAAGAATTTTTCCTCAAATGTTATGCGTTCATGTTTCCAGTGGTTTAAAGCCCTGACTCCAGAGCGAGAGGCTGAGCATGCATTTCAACCTGGACAAGTGCAGCAAATGAAAGACTGGAACCTAGGCCTGCCCAAAAATAACTTCATCTCCCCCAAACCTTGTTCTTCTTTGTACCACGCCCATAATATGTTTCTATAAAATGCACTTAGAATAGATCTGATATATTTCTTGAGTATTTACATCTGCGGACTGCAGTGTCATATTCCAGACCTCAGAACACTCCATCTAACTCAACATTTACCTGAAATTCAAGATATTCTATTCCTTGTTTTTAGCTAATAACTTCTGTTGTTGGACTACAAGGGCAAAATGGAAAAATTGCAAGTGACCCACAAATACCAGTTATGTTTGTTTTAACCACATTTAACCATAAAACTCTTAAGCATGTTAAATATATCACATTTAGGTAATCGTGCAAACTGCATTTTATTTGTTTATTTACTGCCATGGAAAAGGGAACACTGCAAGGAGAAATGGAATATTCCTGTTAAACATATTTTATGTGTTCCTAGTAATTACCTTTTAAAATAATAATATTTGTATTGTCATTGATTGTTGGTGAATTAGCAGCCTACTTAATACATTTTGACTTGCAGTTTAGATACAACGATAATTTGCAGTAAATGACCTTACATTGTAGCTATAACTTATATTGGATGATTAGCAGGAATCCATGAGATTTCCTCTTATAACTCAATTCCTGGCATACTAATGGAAGTATTTGAAGCTGCCTTTTTGCTATAGTAATTGCAGCTATGTTTGTGTTTCTTTTTTCTGAGTTAGAATTTTTTCTGTTCATTTGTTAATTACATTGTAAATGTACAAAGGGGCTGTTACAAGAGTTACTAATTCTAGCTTATTTCGTAAACTAAAATATGAATTTAAAAAGGTGTAATTATGTCATGATGTGTGGGTATGAGCTGAGCTGCAGGTCATGTAAGTGTTGACTTCTTTTTGGCTAGGCCATTTTGGACTAATCTGCCTTTCTAGACTCTATCACACTGACTGAGTTTGAGCATCAGTTTTCAGAAATCCTGCCTCAGTTAAAATTTTAGTGAGTAAAACTCAGAAATCCTATCAGCCTAACAAATTTAATGGCCATCTCCCCTTGCTGAGATATCCAACTTTGCCCACAGATATTCAGAACTAATTATTCAGAGAAAGTACCAATCTGCCATCTAGAGCTCTGTGGCAAACCACGTTTAAGTAGATAGGCACTAATACTATGCCTAAAACCTCGGAGAAGTCAGAAATTTAGTTGTAGGCAGAATTCAGATCAAGATGGGTAGTGATGTGCAGCTTTTCCAAAACGGTTTAATTGTTTTGCACGCTCATTTTACATTAGGCTGCCAATGGATAAAGAACAAAACCTGATTTTGGAGTAGGATCTGTAGTAATAGCAGGATATGTACTAGAATCAGTGGTAGGATTTGTAGCCTGTTTGCACTGAATATTTTTCAGCCTTGTGGTTAAGCAGTCTTGTGGTCTGTGAAGGATGGAGGGTCTAGAGCCCACATCTTCAGCTTTCCAGGTGAGCATACTACTTGCCTAATACACAAAAGTGACGGTAGTGCCAGCACCTTTATTGATGTAAATGTATTTTATTTGCCTGTTGTAATCAATGAAAAATAATTACCTGGCTGGACTAGGCTGGAACACTTCCTGAAAGTCTTCAGAAACATCCACTTCTCTCCACTGATTTGATAGAGTAATTAACAACTTATTTCGGCTGCATTAAGCCTTTACCTGCTTCCTTCTTCCCTCCCCAAGTCCTAAGACACATAAAGCAAGACTTAAGCTTAGATAGGTAGCCTGGATTTTGCTTTTTTTTTCCTGGAAGGAATATGAATGATGAAAAATTTAGGGAATTTTATTATCAAAATACTTACCTTTTTTCAATATCATTTTCTGTAAAAATAATTTCAGTTTCATCAGAATTTATTTTTTCACTTTTGAATGAATTAAAATGAAATCTCATATTTCTTTTACTTCAAAATGTCAAGTCCCAAATCTATATTCAAAAGCATATTTGGAGGAAATTCCACTCATGGCAACCTTTTCATGAGTCTGTTGGACTGTTCCTAACCAGAATCGCTGGTTTTCAAATATTATTCATCCTAACCTTCAAAATATATAATAAAATTAATACAGTGGTAATCTCCCAACAGTTCCTTGAACTTAAGAGAATACTAACTAAGCACATTAATCTTCTTTTGAGAAATTTCATCACCAAAGAGAAAAGTTGGCAACTCAAGAAACAAACAAGACTGGAAAGTCCTTCAGTTATACATAATAACTGCACAAAGAGAGAATGAGATATGGGTAAGCAACCTGTTATCAG